AACAACAACAACAACAACAACAACAGCAACAACAACAAACAACAACAACAACAACAGCAACAACAACAAACAACAACAACAACAAACAACAACAACAACAACAACAACAACAACAACAACAGCAGCAGCAACAAACAACAACAACAACAACAAACAACAACAAACAACAACAACAACAGCAACAAACAACAACAACAACAACAAACAACAACAAACAACAACAACAACAACAGCAACAAACAACAACAACCACTACCACCACCGCTGACTGCACCTGAGCGGGCGCTTTCCCTCTGCAACAATCCACGGGTCAACCTGCAGTTCCTCCAGCAGGTCTGTCAGCGTCATGTCGCACTCCGAGACAGGCTGCAGGAACCGGCTGGCACTGTTAGCCGGCGCACCGCCCTGCTGTTGCTGCTGCTGCTGCTGTTGTTGCTGCGGGTGTGCTGCGCCGCCGCCAAGCGTGAGGCCAAGCTGCTCCTTGAGCTGTTTCGTCTTGACCTCCTTGGTGCCGCGGAAGACATAGCTCTTGCTGCACCCGTCCGTTGTCAGCTCATGCAGCTGCACGTGGTTGCCAAAGGTGATGAGCCCGACGAGCGCGTTCTGGGGCAGCAGGCTCAGCGACATGACCAGGGAGTCCTTGAGGGCAGCCAGGTCCTGCTCGTCCAGGCACAGGTCAACCACATACAGAAACACCGGCGGCACCGTCGCTTGCCGCTGCAGCGAGGAAAGAGGGAGAAGAGGGGGGAGGGTGATGATGATGATGATGATGATGATGACGGCAATGGGCGTGAATGAGACGCAATGAAGGAGAGGATGTGTGTGTGTGCGTGTGCGTGTGTGTGTGCGTGTGCAGAGGGGCGCAGGTGAGCCTGCTTCTTCAACAACATCCTTATCATGTGCATGCGTGTGTACCTGGAGGGTGTATTCGATGGTTGAGAACTGTGGGACGAGCTCGGCGGGCAGGTTCTGTGGCGAGATGCCCTGGTACTGGCGCGGGAACGCGTTGCGGTGGGTACAGATGGCACACACCCAATATGGGGTCTTTGTCTGGAAGTCGACGGGGCAGAGCGGGTTGAGGATGGCCTGGCAGCCCGTGCACTGCACAGGCTCATACATGATTGGCGGCAGATCCGTCCGCTCCTTCAACGGCGTGAACAGCGCTCCCACGGGCACCACCTGGCACATGTTTAGGTGTTGTGTGTGTTGTGTGTGTGTGAGGGCAAGAGAAACAGAGACAACGACAGAGGCAGAGACACAGGCAGAGACAGAGACACAGGCAGAGACAGGGAGTGCCGGAAGCAGGCGGCTGCTCAAGGCAAGAGTAGCAACAACAGCACGACCACAACGCTAACGCCACCAATCAGCCACACAAGTACAATCATTCACTCACACAAGTACACACACACACACACACACACAGGCACGCACCATCTTGGTGGCCTCCACGCGGCTGGTGGGGAGGACGTTCCAGCTGAAGCGGATGCCATCACGCTCCTCGCAGGCAAGGATCCACTCCTCGTATCCGGACATGACACTGGCTTTGCTGGCCGGGTAGTCGCTGTTGCTGCTGCTGTTGGCGCCGTGTGCGTGAATGTGCGGAAGCTGCGTGTCGTCCGATAACGTAATGCACATGCAGAGCGACGAAGACATGGTGCGCACAGGAGAGGGGGACAGAGGGGGGGGGGGGTGTATGTGGGAGAGTGTGTATTGTGGGAGAGGTTTTGTGAATGTGTGAGAGAGGGTATGTGAGAGATTGTGTTTGTGTGTGTGTGTATGTGCGGTGAGCCGCGGGTAGAAGGAAGGCAAGTGCGGGCAAAGGGACGTGAGTGGAAGAAATGAGCAACGGTGCAGCCAACAATACGGCAGCCACCAAACACCATCAACACAGCACAGCCACAGCCAGGAAACCACACATCACAGCCAACACAGCCAACACGGCCAACCATGCACCACACATTGCTGCTGCTGGCACCACCACGTGGACGAGCGAGAGGTCACGAGTTGTCCAGCACGACAGAATGCTGTTGATGACGTACGTCCTCACCGAAGCACGCGGTGTGTTGTCTTGTCAAAGACTGTGTTGGGCAGTCAAATGCACCTGGTTCTGCTTAACCAAACAAAGTGCATGCGTAGCCAGGAAGCACAGCACAAGGAGTAGCACAGATGAGCGGAGCAGGCGCCAAAGGGATGCACGCTTGTGAGCGTGTAGCGTGTGTGTGTGTGTGTGTGTGTGTGTGTGTGCGTGGAGGGTAACGGCTGTCGTCTGCGTTGATTTGAGACGACTGTGAAACTGAAGACGAAACAAACAAAACAGTGTGTGTTTCAACTGTGTTTGCTTGCTCGCATGAATTGCCACAGCGTGCACATGCACAACTTTCGGGAGTGAACGTACTCATACACACATACACACGCGTGCGCACACGCACACACGCACACACACGGCCGACTGTGCCGTGCATTGCTCGCCCACACACCCATATCAAGACACATACCAAACCCAGCTTGCTTGCACCACAGGCCCCCAAGCGACAGCCCTGTTGGCACTCACCGCCCTCACTGGGAGACGGTTTTGGCGATTTGCAGGTGGCGTTGCAGAAAATCGCACGGCTGTATGTTTCGCACAAGTATTGGTGAAGGCGTGCGCACTCTGAAACAGATCCACCACGCCGGAACTTGGCAACACACAAACGCTCACACATCAACAACAAAGCAAAGCAGCAGATACAGCACCACAACACCGCCACCCACCCACAAAGCAAGCAAGCAAGCGTCGAAGCTGCATCCGTGACCGACGGCCTGCTGTATTGAACGACCCTCGAAACGCACCAGCTGCGCCACACTCCATATCCACCTTCACTCCCACTTTCACCCACACACACACACGCACGAGTGCACACAATGGACGTGCAATCGCTGTCGCCTGCCTTGGACCACTTGTCGTCAAGTGGCATTGTGCTGAGCACGGAGCGCCGTGTCTCGCTGGACACGTCGCTGACACTGCTGATGCATGCGGAGAAGCTGAAGCAGGTCAAGTACTGGGGTCGCATCCAGGGCGTCGCAGCAGACTATCACATCGCACAGGGCTCAAACGACGATGGCTACGCCACCAAGAGCTTCTACAGGTGTGTGTGTGGGGGGAGGGGTGTGGGTGTTGGGCTGCGCAATGGCGCTGGGGAGTGTGTGTCTGTCTACCTCGATGCGCTGTGCTGTTGGACTCTTTTCATTGGCTCACAATCACGGTCGCATACCGTGCTGCTGTTTTCACGTGTGTACATGTGTGCAGTATGGACTGCATCCGCTGGGCGCAGCTGCCGGAGATTCATCCTGTCCTGGCAAAGTCCTGCGCCAAGATCCGCGGGCGCTTCACAGGCAACCCCTCTCACGAGTTCACAGTCACAGAAACAGGGCCATCGCCAAACGAGACCAGGCCAGAGCTGCCCGCAGAGGTGTGCGTGTGTGTGTGTGTGTGTGTGTGTGTGTGTGTGTGTGTGTGTGTGTGTGTGTGTGTGTGTGTGTGTGTGTGTGGCTGTCCTTGTTGGTTGCTGTCATGTCTGTTGCATGCACCTGCTCACATGTACACTTCTCCCTCCCTCTCTCGCTCACTACCGCGCGCACACGCACGCACAAACCACGCACGCGCTGCAGGTTGAGGCGATTCGGTCTGAGGAGACCAAGGGCGATGGGTCCATTGTTGTGACCACCACCATTACAGAGGAGAAGCGGTTGGCCGCGGCCGTCGCAGCCATCGACAAAGAGACCCGCATTGTCCCGCGTGGCGCCTACAGAATGGTGCGTTGTGTGTGTGTGTGTGTGTGTGTGTGTGTGTGTGTGTGTGTGTGTGTGTGTGTGTGTGTGTGTGTGGGTGGGTGTGTGTGTGGGTGGGTGTGTGTGTGCGTTCGTATGTGGTTGTGTCGTGCTTGCGTGCGTGCGTGCGACGCACCCCATTGGTCGTCATGACGCTGCATCCCGTGATCCACACTGCGCCGCTGCACTCCGCTCATGTACAAACACACCGCCACCACCAGACCCCCTCGGACGTGGTTGAGAGGAATCACGGCTTTGGCGGGCTCTCCCACCAGGCTGCGGGCAAGATTGAGAGCTACATGCACTTCCGCCAACCCATCACTCTCCTCAGCAAGTCGCCACTCGAGCGGGTACGTCATGCGTGCGTGCGTGTCTCTGTGTGTCTCTGCGTGTCTCTGCGTGCTTGCGTGTGCATCTGTGTGTGTGTGTCTGTGTGTGTGCGCATCTGTGTGTATCTGTATGTGTATGTGCAAACGCTCTTGTGAGCACTAGTTCCCATCTTCATCATCACCCCATCTCATCCCATCCCAACGCTGTTGTTCTCACGCGCATCTTCTTCTTCTTCTTCTTCTTCTATCCTGCAGGCGCGCATGGACCAAGGCCTCGACTTTATGGACTCCATCTCAGATGACATTCCAAAGGTGTGCAGACTTGTGTGCGTGTGCTTGTGCTTGCGTGTGCTTGTGCGTGATGACAGTGCGTGCTGCGGACCGTGTCGCTCACCGAAGCCACAACACCTTGTTCCTTGCGTTGCCCCTCCTCCCGCCCTTCTCGGCGCCAAACCCCACGCTGTGCAGAACTGCTGGAGCATCCAGTACCAGAACGGGTCAAAGGCGGTCGTTCTGCGATCGCTCATCTGGCCCGGCTTTGTCTTCTTCCACACCCCAAACTCCCCGCTGTTTGGCCACGCGTATGTCGGCACAGGCCAGCGCAACAACGACCTCATCTTCGAGCTGCCCTGAGGCACAGGCACGCCTGCATCTGTGTGTGTGTGTGTGTGTGTGTAATGTTTGTTTGTTTGTTTGTTTGTTTGTTTGCTTGTTTGTTTGTTTGTTTGTTTGCTTGTGTGTGTGTGTGTGTGTATGTGCAATAAATTGGTCTGACCAAGGTGACCTTCCTGTGGGTGCTTGTCGGTTTGTTTCCGCTCGTTCAATGCTGTGTTCCCAAATCAGTGTGTGTGTGTGTGTGAAGCC